GAACAGGACAAAGGCTCCCACAAAATAGAACCTCCTGCCTGGGCTTGTCCCCGGCTCTCCTGACGTCCAGCCCAGCTGTTTAACCAGGAGGCCGCCCAGCCCTTCCCAGCCCCCTTGCGGGTGTCAGGTATCTGTGTGGGACCCAAGCACCACCATTCAATCACCTCCCCCAACTGGGTTTCGATGAATCTGAACTGGCTCTGCAATTCTCAGCCCTGGATTGCGCGGGGTTCTCCGGCAAAGGCCGGCGGGAGGAGATGGGGATTGCCAGAGATCAGAGACGTGGATATTACCGGTTTGCCAAAGCACAAATACCTCCAAGCTGTGACGCTGACCAGCCCCACCAGCAGCAATAGGACAAGTGCAACTGTAGGTCCTATGATGTACGCGGGAGCCCCGGGGACTGGAAAGGAGAAAGGAGGGTTATTGGATCAACCCTGCAGCAGAGTTTTGACCCCGTTTGCTGATGGATGGCAGCTGGGTAAGAACCAGACAGTGAGGATGGATGGGGATGGATCATGACACGTGGTGCTAAGATGCAGCCACTTCTGGGGTGGGGCAGCTCCCCCAGCAGTAAGGCGCGGACTCCTCTCGGGTGGAGGAAGGACGTAGGACATAACACAACATTTGGCAGAAAGGGAATTGGGAGCAAATCACTGGGGCAAAGGCTGAGTCTTGGGAGCTGTAGCATGGGATTGTATCCTCCCCACGCTGCATCAACCTCAGCCGTTTCCACTGATCTGCCGCAGGAGCAAAGTGAATCTGGCAGGATTTGAACCCGCGGCTTTGGAGAAAGCAGACCTGAGGCTCAGACGCGAAGTCCTTCCCTCTCACCCTCCCCAAGAGGGTGTGCTGCCCACCTGGATTACATTTCCCATGATGCACCACTATCTCCCCTCTTGGTGATGGGAAGGGTGCCTCATAGGAATCCATAGCCAGGGTGCATCATGGGAGATGTAGTCCAGCTAGAGCACCTGGCCCACAGAAGAGAATGGGAGCACGAGGTACCCAAACTACAACTCCCGTCAAGCCATTTTCAATTGAAATATTTCGGGTTTTGACATTTCTATGAAAAGTGGAGCTTTCCCACCCTCCCCCAGCTCTCTCCTCCCGCACCTCCCCCCTTCCCCTGCACCTCTGGGAAAAGAAAAACAAAAAACATTTCCTGACCAACTCTACCAGAAACGTTTTTTTTAAATGAAAACCAACATCTCTCAAAATCCCATGATTCCAGGTGTGTCATAGGAGTCCTTCGGTGTGGTGCATCATGGGACTTGCAGTTCCTGTGCCTCATGTACTCAGTCTCCTCTGTCAGCCGGGCTGTCTGGCTTAACTACATCGCCTACGATGCACCACCTGCTTCCTCTTGGTGCGGGGAGGGCGCCTCATTGGACTCACTGGCTGTGGTGCGTCATGGGAGATGTAGTCCAGCCCCTGCCTGTTTGATTAAAGGGCTGGAGCAATGGTTCTCAAACTTTTTTACTTGTGACCCCTTTCACATAGCAAGCCTCTGAGTGCGACCTGTCTTATCAATTAAAAATACTTGTTTATATATTTAACACCATTATAAATGCTGGAGGCAAAGCGGGGATTAGGGTGGAGGCTGACAGCTCACGACCCCCCATGCAGGGCCGGCTCTAGGCACCAGCACTCGAAGCATGTGCTTGGGGCGGCACTTTCCAAGGGGCGGCACTCCAGCTCCCGCCCCCCTTTTTTTATTGCTTGGGGCGCAAAAAGCCGGAGCCGGCCCTGAACCAAGATGTTCCCTGTCACCTGAGGCTTTCAGGCTGAGCTGGAACTGACACTGCAGTTCTGGCTGCAGTCGCTAGATGGCGCTCACGGCAGCCGGAGTCGCACAGGCTGGATGCAGTCCAGGCTGCCCGGCCGCTGGAGAGCCGGAGCGTCGTCCCCGGACCCCGCCCGCCGCGCACCTCCCCCG